TTATGGAACAATTTATGTTATCTGGTATCAATTAAATAAGGATAGCAACCATCTGTTGGAAAAATGCTCAACATTCAGTGCAATTATCAGCTTGGCCAGTTATCAGTCAGCCCCTTAGTTTATAGCCCAGGATGTTCTGCGACGCTATACATTGGGGCACTGTTTAACAATCAGTTTCTCTTCTGCTCATACAATTTCTGGCTGATTTACCGTTTCACCTTTATCGATAGTCGGAGGAGAAATCTGATCTCCGTCTGAGCCGATGATGGGCCCAGATTAGCTAGTAATGTGAGGAGTTTAGAGATTTGCAGTGGAGTTAAAGCCATGGACGCTGTTGTCAAGCAACACTGTCAACCCTCAGGCCAACATTTGCTGCAGATGTTAAAACTGTTAAAATCTCCATTTGTTGAGCATGTTGACCACATCTTCCCAAACATTAGCTCATACAGGCTCATCTTCTTCTTCCTGCAGAGTAGTTTAAGCACTACAGCAAGTTTTTTGTTCACAGTTTTTATTTGTTTACATATGAGTCCCATTGAGATTACACCAGATAGCACACTGCTCCCTGACTGCTCCCTCTGGCATGAAAATAACTTCCTGTAGTGTGAGATGCATCTTTATTTTCCAATCTTGTACAGTGTTCATGTCTGAGATTAGAGAGAAGAATATCTGTGCGTGATGCAATCCAATTTAAAAATTTGTTAGGATTTTAAAACTCCTAGTAGTGTGAGCCTGGCAAGACGGTCTACAGCTGTGCCTTCAGGATGCTCAAAGACTTTATGAACCACTTGGATGAAAACAAAAAGTTCCATTAGCTGCACCATAAAAAAAAAGGCTTTTAATCGTCTGCCCAGGTTACAGCTCTGTTTCCTAGTCAGGCAGCACACAGGCTCACATTTTTTATTAGATTCAGAGGCATCTTGAGAAACGTGTTTAAAATCTTTAGTTTATCATTCTCTGTTGTAAGTTTCTAGAAAGGCTTTGGGAATGCAGAAAATACTGTAACTTCTAAATGTTTCTGGGGTTTTAAATTAAATGATGTTGTTGAGAAGCCAATGGCCTTTATGACCTGATACGAATACATTGGGGCGCAATCAGGCTATAGCAAACTAACTACTTCGAAAATCCCACGACCTGTGTCATCATTCATAATGCTAAACATCACATGTGGCAGGTAAATGTCTAAGACGTGTTATTAAAAGCAACTGTACTGTGCTAAAGTTTTACGCCAGTATTTCAAGGTACTTGCCAGTTAAGTTGTTCAAGCCTCCTGGTTGCTCAAGTTGCAGCTCTCCTCTGGATCTAGGCTGTCTCAGTGGCTTCTTTCTACTCATGTAATCCCAGACTGACATGATGATGTTGGTATCAGTGCTCTGTGGGGACCATGCCATCTGTTACAGGACTCCATGTTCGAACAACTGAAGATAGTTCTTTATGGCTGTGGCCGTGTTTGGGGGTTGTTGTCATGCGGCATAATGAATTTTTAGAAAGATCAGATGTCTCCCTGGTGGGATTGTGATGGATAGCAATCTGTCTGTGCTTCTCAGCATTGAGGAGGACACTAATTGTAACCACGTCCCCAAGTGCTTTTGCAGAAATGCCATCCCAAACCCACAGGGAAGCTAATAATAATAATAATTCACTGTTGACAGAAGACACCCGTCCTTGGAGCAAGTTTGTTTCCCAGTGAACAAACTGTCTTCTGTTAAAGCTGAATCTTCAAATTTCATCAGACAGGAGCATGTATTAGCATTTTCTGTTTTGTGTGTTTTGTTCATTTTTGTGAGAAATCTAACGTACCTGAAACTTCAACACATTACGACACAGTCACTTATATTTTCAATGGCATAAATGTCCTGTACCAGAAGAGTAGCTGGTGTAGCAACTTAGAGATAATATAAGGTTAAAATATCCCATATATTTACCCATCTTTTTCTGGTTGTAGTTGTGTTGAGCATTTACTCTCATCTCATTTCAGTACCATATTGTATGTACAGTAGTTTCACTTCAACACCTCCAAACCAACTAATTGCTTTCTGATGCATATACACCATTTACATTTGTGGGTGTCATCTATCATGAGTGTCACAGATGATCCATAAAGCTATGCTATGCTAGGCTAGGCTAGGTTATGCTATGCTATGCTATGCTACGCTACGCTAACTTGTATGTGATTCTTAGATCCAGAAAAAAATTTTAAAATAAAAGAAGGGTTACAGATTTGCAAATCATACAAACATACTCTAAATTGAGAACATTGAGAACAAACATCCAACAGTGGACTAATTTGGAAATTGTTTTTGAGTCACTAAAGACAAAGTAACTAAATAAACAACAAGGACTATAGTTGGGTAAATACCACTACTCCTAGTTATGTCTGGTAACAGTTAGTTAAAGGTTGGTTAAAAAGCCTGACTGATACCGGATAGTTGGGGTCAAAACTAATTTTAGGAAGTAAATAATTCTATCATCGACATATCAGCTAATATTGTTTGTCTATATGTTGGAGTTATGTTGAAAAGGGTAAATGATATTGTCAATGCATTTCACAATGTAGTTAGCAATTTTCTATGACAACAAGTCTTGACTCTGCGCTGCCATGTGCTCAACTGTAAAACATGTATGTACATGTGCTGCAGACAGGGCTGAGAAGATTGTAAACACTGAGGTTGAAGCCGCTCTGCTGGACAGCCTATGTGATCACTGTTTCTAAATTACTCCAAGCATACTGTTCTGTATTATATAAAAGAAAGTTTTCCTATTGGTTTGGACAGATAATACGGTGATACCCATGTGTCTGTGATTGGATCATATATCGACCAACCGATGTATCGGTCAGGCTCTAGTTAAAGTAATATTTCTGAAAAATATCTAATTTACAGAAGTAGTGTTGTCGCCTTACAGAGGCTACAATATGTTGCTGTGAGGAAAATGCAGTTTGTGCATATATACGCCTGTCTGCAGCAGTGTCATATTGATTGACTGAATATGTGCTGCCATAAGTCTGATCAATAAATCAGGCAGGCCATGAAAAAAAATCCATTATTTATATCACATCTGTGAGTTGTCCTTGGGTCTGTCTGTCACTGGGAGTCTGTGGGTTCTGTTGAGGACCTCCTTGAGAAACATGATGCATGGCAAAACTTGACTTGTTTTTATAGTACTGCCAGCGTGTCCTTTATTTTTGTTCTTACTTCTTGTTGTAGTCGATGGCGAACAGCTGTGTTTGTTAAGAAATTTACACCATGAGAGTGAAAGACTCCGAGCAGATCTGCTTCACATGAGTCTCGCCCCTGTTGCTTTATTGAAGGGAATGAAGCTCGACACACCAAGCAAAGCAGCATCAGTCAAAAGACTGCCTTCATTTTTGTCACTTGCCTCTCTTGTCTGTCTTCTCGCTCTCTTGAGCTTGCGGAGCTGATTCTGAAATGCATAATTAAATCAACACAAGGATTAAAAACCCATCTCTAAAGACGCTGTGCTAAATTGAAAACGCCGTGTGCTTGACCTGCTCCTCTCCACAGCATGACTGTAAGCTGATCAGACAGTTGCAGTATGCAGAAGCTGTGTCTGTGTGTATGTTTGTGCATTAATGTGTCTTTGCACTTGTAGCCTAGTCTTTAATGGCATAGTGATGAGGCCACCTAGAATATGAAGCAGTCACTGAGAGGAAATGATCAAAGAGACACAAGCAGCAGGGTTGTGACAAACTTAAACCCAAATGTGTTCATTACGATCATTTCTCGCGCTCATGCAGTCAGCATGCAGGAGCTCTAGAGCCACAATAATATAAATGGGATCGTTAATTAAAATAAATGGCAAGCAATAATCGGTCTATGAAAAATATATCTCATTGAATATTCTCTGTGTAGCTCAGCGTGCCTGAAGAGTGACTGAAAGCACGCTGAAAGTTTTATATTATGTTTTCCCAGTTTTACATTTCCAAGAACAGAGATGAAAACCGCTGGTTTCAAAGTTGCTACCAGAAGCGCAGACACACATTGTGTTCTGTACAAAAGAAACCCTAACCCCGTCTTCGCTGCTTTCAGTTAAATTTTATGAAGTCTGGCTATATTAATATAGCATTTCATGTATAAAACACATGGAGGCATCATACAGTAATGCTTCTCTGCATGGAGTCACACTCTTAGCAGTGGGATCAGCATCATGAGAGCAGCACACTCTGACCTATATATTCTACTCATTAGCCTCCAACTGAACGACAGACAACAGAGCTCACAACAGATTCATCAGCAAGGGATCAAGATTGTCCACCTAATGTTCTAGTGGGTGTTTAAGTCTTTCAGCCGAGTCATCGCACGTGTGTTTTCCTGTTTTATCTGGTGCGCAGAGAATGTAGCTGAGATGCTAATAGGGGGTTTGTTTCACAGAACCTATCTGTTATAACTCTGGGAATGTGCTCCGTGTTGATTGACTCAGTCACAGTGTCTCTGTAAAAGTAAGCCATGTGTGAGAGTTGATGGATTGCATTTCCTACGAGAAAAAGCATATGTGGTGCTTTTCTGAGATTTATGTCACCTTATCATTGCAGATGCTAGAAAATCCAATTTATGCCTGTCTCAGTTTCTTTTTAAATTTATTCTTTCTTCACCTGACAGCCGCAGAATGATTGAAGTGAAAAAAGAAAAAAGAAAACAACGTGGAGAGCATGCAGTAGTCATCACCTCTCCAGTGGCATTTATAATTAGGATGAGAGTTTTTTTCTTTTTTTTCCATTCACTGAGCAAAACAGTTATTTGCACAAGCTGAAGAGCAATTCTCTTTTCACATTGATGAAGGGCTCATTAAACAAAAATCCTAATTGGCCACTCTTTCCCTGCCTACTTCACTGCTCATTCTAGGGCTGTTTTATTTGAGAACTATTACAGCTAATACTCTTCATTCTACAGCGTTATTAAGTGCACAAACACTGACTGCAATTTGTCTTCTCTCTACCTTTAAAACTCAATCGTGCTTCTTCTCTTTCCCCCCGCTCAGATATGCAGTACCCACTGAGACACCGGATGTCCCGTGGCCATTCCTATGAAGAGCGAACTGTGTGGAACCCAAAGTACTGTGTGGTTGCTGACTGTCAGATGCTGCTTCTGAATGAGGAGGAGGTGGTGAGAGCAGACAGTACAAACTCTTGTCTGTCATGTCCCTCTGTGTCACTGTTGTCTTCCTTGTCTGTTCTGCTTTTATTTTCCCTCATCAGTGCAGTTTGATTTGCATCTTTTCCATCCACTAATTTCTCCACATATATTCTATGACACCTCTGAATTTAATAGGTGCTCTCATGTTAATATACAGTCACAGTCCCAGCAATAATAATTAGTCACTACCTATAAGAAAACAAGTTCCTGCCTGTGTGAGGACTCATTCCGCATTTAAATTAATCCATCCCACCGTTGAGACCCCCAGTAGCCAGGTTAGCTGAGGCCGGCTCTTTGCCTCCATTGTTTTGATTAGTGTCACACTAGATTATGCAAGTTTCTGGGAGATTAGAGGTCCTGTCGTTAGGCGCAAACCAGGATTCAGCAGGGTAATCTAAATTGCATTGTTCACTCAGCAATATCCTTGAGAAACAGCTTTGTGGGAGCTCATATTTAAAGTGCCCACATCCCAACAGAGGACCTACACCTGTTTTGGCTTGTTAGGAGTCTTAACAAGACAGTGACAAAATGCGAAAAATTAGGCAATATGTTTGAAATCAGTATCCACAAAAAAAAATTAAATATATATATAGTAAATAATTTTTTTTTTGCATAATAAAAGAAAGCAACAGAAGCATAATAATCAAAGCAAATTGTGCAGGTGAGGTTAAAAAAAAAGAGGCTTATAGAAGAAATCTCACTTAAACAAACATAAACAAATAATCAAAGCTATGTTCACCTGACAATACTGATGAGATACAGTATGTATCTTGGTGTTTTTGTAATACTACATTGAGCCACTGTGGGGCGTAACTCTCGATAGTGTAAAGCTACTATATAAAGAATTTCACAATTACCGAACTTTCCTCACACACACTGTATTTGTATGATTTCCCTCGTGGTTCTGTTAAGTCACAGAAACAAACATACCTCACTGTTTGTAATTCCTGGCGTACCTTTGCACAGCTTTAAATTGAGCCCATGTGCTGCAGCGAGAGCCAGACGCACTTCATGCCAATCACACATTAGTGTGTCTGTTTCTGAGCCTGGATGACTGCATGCACACATAAGTAGCACAAAAATAATAAGTTGCGTGACTCCAGGCAACTTTTAAATGAATCCCATACTTTTGCTAATTGTTTAAAATGCTCACAGAGTCATTTTTACATAAGCACAATCCTCAGAACAGTTTCTTTGTACTGTTTTTTTGTACTGTATAGGTAAGGTAGAAGGTTCACTTTCAACTAATGCCATCATCTCAGAACCATCAGCATCAAACTCAGTTATAGCTCTCTCAGGGAATTTGTGAATCCAGCTTCTGTGATTTTTAACAGGGGAAGAACACAACCTCTCTTAGGGACTCTGGCAAGTTTTGCAGGAACTCTTTGATCTTTGATCGCAGGTTTAACCTCCAAAACTCACCTCTGTCTGTCAAAGTTACATATTTAGACGTTTTTTCGTCAGAATAATACCGTCCTGTCTTAAAATGGCTTAGATGTAATTCCTGCCTCTCTCTCCACTCACCGCTCCCCGCTCACTGCAGCTTAAGCACACCACATAACCTCCAACTCACCTAGAAACACTGTAAATCTGCCCCATGGTACACGATGGCAAGTTCAAGCCTTCAAACCTTCTTCTAAAAAAGAATAGTGATACAGAAAGCAACAACTTCAAAGCTGACAGGATTGATTGCTCAGATTTGTTATGTTTTCAACAGTCGTCTGTACCTTGAATTGCCATGTGGAAATGCTCAACCATGGCACTAACTGCTTATTTTGCTCATGATATGCCTTCCAGCATATAAATAGCACCATATGGACATGTTAACAAGGTAAAAAAAAACTTGATTTCCACCAGAGGGGGTGTTGTGGGCAAGCGCCCTGCTTTAAAGTCGCAAAAGCACCTGGACAAGGCATCGTTATTGGACTTGCCAAGCCTTTTTTCACACCAGTGTGACTACTGGAACTGGGGAGAGCGGTGTGGCTTCATTCTTTGTCTGAAATTACTGAGGTATGCCATGCTGAAATCGAGTAATAATTGCAGGGAGCAATTATTTCAATCGACCTACTGGCAGCCTTTCCACTACAGTGCTTTTTGTTTCACGGCAACAAAGAACAACAGCTTTTAAATGCGTCCATCTCGAGACCCAGACTTGGAAAAGGTCATCTGTAACGCTGCTGGATTTCTGTCATGTCAGCAAATTGCAGGTCAAAAAAGTGATACAGTCTTCTAATGGTTCGCTCCATACAAAGGTGTTTAGACGTATAAACAAGCTGCAGGGGAAGGTGTCAAAGCATCAACTCCTGTGGACGAGCGGTAGAGGTCAAACGTTGATGTACACATGAGGGACATGTATATCATTATGTTAGTCGCTCTTTATTGTGTGACAGAGTATTTGATCCAAAGAGTTGGCAGCAAAAACACATAAAGCTGTAGACATTCCTGCATATTTGTAAATGTAATCAAGTGGTAGAAACAGTAATAACAAACTGATTACCCATTTGTTCCTTTCACATGTGATGCAGGGTTTTTTAGCGTACGGCAATGAAAACATTGTGACATTTCGAAATACACTTAGATGATTAACATTTTGCCACAAATTAAAAATGAAAAAGCCTTCAAATTGAGGCTGATGGATTCACTTTATTATAGAGCTTTTTTTTGCAATTGTAAAATATATTTATTCATCACAGGGAATGTGCGTAAATGTATTTGTAAATCTGTATAGATGTATACATTAATTGTGTTAATTTGTATTTATTTACTCTTTACCTGCTGTAATTTGACCCCTGTGTTCCTCTATTCTGCACTAAACCTGCTACAGTGAACAGAAATGTGAAAGTGAGAGGAATGAAATCAGTGTACAGCAATGCTTTAAGTCTCTGAACACAAATTCTGATTGATGTCTGTGAAGAAGTTCCTGTAGGGGCTTTAGGAAGCAGTCACTGTTTCATTTCTGACCTTTTGTTTAATCTTTGTTTTTATTCTCAGTCTTTATTGAAATCTTTTACTCTTTCATTAGCCTCTCTCTTCATCCCTCGTTCCTCCGTTCATGCTTCATGAACACATTATGAGAGTCATTATGGAAACATAGAATTAAAGTGTATCAGTGACAACAGCTGATGCTGATATCGTCACTGTAATAGGCTGTTTACTTACATGACAGGTTCTTAATCACAAGACAAACGACGCTTCTGCAAACACGAAGACGGCCAAAATGGAAAGTACAGAGTGAATGCAGAAATGAGCGGATAACAATCTCGACATTCAGCGAGCGCATTACTTGAGGGCTGCGATGTGAAGGTAATAAAGCTGAAAGGAAAGGTGTGATTCCAGAGGGGTTTCAAGTTTAGACTTTTCTCATTTTCACCTTCGGTTTGTTGTGTAGCCTTCTCTGGTTCCTTGGGCCGTCGGAGCCCGCTGTGCATACACTGATGCTGCAGCTCATTACTACGTCTGGGCTGCACAGAGCTGCCAGGAGAGGGGGCTAATAGTTAGAGAGCTTTTCTTCTTTTGCTGGTGTCAACACTCAGAAAGGGTTTGAACTCAAATCAACTAGACTTTACTGTTGTAATCAGGTCAGTGCTTATGTACATGGCAACAGCAATGATCTAAACTGAATTAGCAGAAGAAACATCACTGCTCCCTGTTTGCAATGTTGTCCTACGTTAATCGTTTCATAGAGAATCAGTTAAATAACTTTATTATTTCATCAGGACAGTTGTAGTGCAACTTATTTGTCTTTGACCCAGAGTAGTGAACGTTTATTTCTGGCTTCTTATCCGGTTCATACAGTCACTGATATTCTCAGCACAGCTTCAACTTTGCTCAGAAGCACCTGCAAATAAGTTTAGCAGTGGGAGAGGGTCATCCCTCTTTTACTGTAATTCACTCAAACTTTCCTGCCTCGATTTTTCCACTTGCCCTGGGGACTTCCTATTCATCCATGATGATTGCTAGCCAGCTCCTCTGACCTTTACTTACCATCTCAGAGATGAATCAATGGAGTTATTTTAGTCCTGGTGGATATGGATCTTTAATGAATTGGAAACACATGTTGTACCAATTACACACTGAAAATTGCTAAAATACACACAACATAAACAAAAACATGTACCGTTTTGCCTCCACTCTCAATATTTTAGGCATCTGAATGTAGCGTACTGTTACTCAAATAAATAATTACTCTGTCCTTAACTATGACACATGAATAATTAGATGAGAGCATAAACAATGGAATATTAAATGACTAATTTACATGATAAAACCATATATTACACGTCAGCCTCTGCTCAAAACCTGTCTTCCTGGAGCGACTCTGGCCCTTACTGTACTGTGTACGACACTACAAATCGCTGCAGTGAATTGTGGTTCAAATTACAGCATATATTGCTTAGTCATTACGGCTCAGACCACCAGACACCGTCTTTACGTCAGAGACGGTGTCAGTGAGAGCTGTCCTTAAAACCTAAGTCCCACGAGGCAAGTAAAGAGGCGACTCGCAGAGAGGATCAGAGCGAGATAAGCAGACGGACATGGAAACAGAGGAACAGAGAAAACAAGACAGACAGGGCGCCGCATTGAGTTGAGAGGTGTGAGGATGTTCGATAAGCCATTATCACTCCACTTGGAGGACATCAGGCCCTTTCCCTTTTTATTTGACTCACCACTTTCTCACCACAACCATTCTTCTCCTTTTGTCTGTTTAATCTTTCCGTGCCAAACATTTGGTATGCAAGCTATAGGAAGATATGGGCTGACTGATGTGTTGCTAATGCCTGCTTTGTTTTATCCAACGGCCTCTCATTTATCAGGACGACTACAGCTATTGTGCACTGTTGGCCCAACACAGTATGAAACATGGTGACCAGAATAACCACAACAACCTAGATAAGGGCCTCAGTCACTATTGAATGTGCATTTCATACATTTTTCTACAGCCACCATTTTTCTTCCCGCTGGCTTTCATTCTTCTTTGTACTCAGTCGACTCCGTCACTTTCGTTGAATTCATTCAGAACTTTATCTGCCTTGAATTATTCGCTCCATCTGAGTGTCTCTACTTTTCTGTCTTTGTTTATCAGCCGATCTGTTTCGTGTTTTTTGCAGGAGAGGCGCGCTGCGTCATGCAAGGTCCATCTTCTGCGTCGCACCATCAGCGTTCCAGTGGAAACACAGTTTCCAGAATTCCACAGCCAGCTGTCCACCGAGAGCGGTAAGCAGCCTGAGGACATGCCTCTGCAGTGATCAGGACACACACAGCCATACACATGCATATACTGGAAATAAATGAGGTGCTTTATGTTACCATTCATTATGCACATGTAGAGACATCATTTATTGTTAAAACTGTAAGGAATCAGAAAAGGTTGGTGCTTTTTTTTAGTTGCTTTGCTACAGTTTTGACATTTTGGTGCTCAAAGCTGCTCAGTTTCAGCTTAGAGTTGAACTTAAAAACTCATATGTAGATGTTCAATAAAAAGGTCAAATGGTGAGTGTAACTGAAGAGAAGCACTTCTTTCTACTCCTCAGGGATGTGATATCACCAGTCATCCGCTAATGCTTGCCAGTGAGCCTCGCATTGCTCGCATGCCTGGGCGAGACTCGTGAAATTCTTTTCTTCTTCATATCCACTAGATGGAGAGCTCGCTGCTTTGAAGCGCTGCTCGGCAGTTCATCCTAACCGCTGAGAGAGACACTCAAAAATTCTTTCAAAGTGCCGTTGCTGTGTTGCACTTTTCCCGACGCTTTTACGACAATGTGACAATGCAGTTTATTGAATACCTTCATGAGATAAAAGTATTCAGTTTACACTTAGCTCAATGGGCAAGATGATGGTAAAAGCTGGAGGAATGTGTGGATGTGATCAGCACATAGGATGAGTCAGAATGAGACACTAGGTGGCACTGAAGTTTGACTGTGAAGCGTTTGTAACCCACAGGCACAGTTGCTGTGATTGTTACCTGGCATGCAGCCTAATGTGACCCACCTTCAAACCAGTGTGCAGTGATCATTTACTTTTAAGATCTTTTTATGATGCAGTCACATTATGTTGGCTGCATCCTGCATTGCTGCATATCGTAGACTGTCATCTGGTTTGGGATGCTTTAGAACGGAAGCATGACCGTGCATGCTGCAGATGCTTTATGTTCAAGGACTGTTGCAAAGTTTCGTTTTAGTGTTTTTCACATCTGTCTGTCTGAGCGAGTGAGTCAGGGAGTTCACGGCTGGATTGATGTGCAGTGGCATCTGCAGGTTTGCCTAACCTTCACCATTTGAGGGAGCCATTTAGTTCAATTTTTAACAAAAGTGTGACTGAAGGACACTTCAGAGCGTTAACAAATGTATGTCCTCGTCCTTCAACTTAGAATGTGAAATCTATTTGTTTCTTCGGGAATCAAGAAACACGTCATGTTTGTTGACACGACTTAAGAAGTAATTTAGATTAATGCAAGAGAAATACTTTGAACATCACCAGGTTACTCCTGTCTTGCACTTTGTTTTGGACATTTATCTTTCTTTAGTCCTCATACCCTTTACCCCCAAGTAAGGTCACATTTTTGTTGATCCTACGGCGAGGCCGGGATAATGAGGCAAGCAGAAACGTCCTTCTGTCTTCCCAAAGTTATGGCTGATACCCAGCATTCTCTGCATAGTGCATATTTGATTCCATAAACAGGACGTGCTGCAGTTGCTCGGCGCTAAATCACTCACACACACGGTCAAAAATCAGAGGAGAGTTTGAAATGTAAGCAACTCATTTTGTCATCTGCACTCACAGACACAAGTGATGACATGATGATGAGAAACCAGCAGCAGAAACATCATTATGCTGGATGGCTATGATTAAGTTGAAGAGACAGAGGCTAAAAGAATAAACACAGACTGCCAGCTTCTTGGCTAATTACAGGTTAGCTCGGCAGCTTCGCCAATGACAATCCGAGACATTTCCGTGGTGATTATGTAAGATAATTGCTGAATTGCTGATTCAGATTTCCATTGTCAACATACACTGTTGTGCATGTAAAGCAGGACGCAGTCCCATGCATTAATGTATTACTGTAATGGTTACTCTGTCACCTGTTTAAAGAAAATGTCACACTGTTGTGTCAAGTTGGAGGTATTTTGGTAAAATAATATTTACAAGGCAACCTTTATTTCTATCACCTGAGTTGCATTTGGATTTGAACTCAGTGGTCAACTGCAATGATGAATTCTATTTTAAACATCAGAGGCAGTGTTGTCTGAACACCCTAGATGGGTGTTGTTATAGCAATACTAGTGGTAATAAAAAAAAACATTATAATGTGCATGGACTTTAAATACAATTACTACTTGTAATTGAAAATATGACTCCCTTTTATCCTTTCAAAGGAGCTGCAGATATCCAGTAGAAACATAAACGCAAATTAAACGGTTACATAACAATAATTGAATCAATATTACGAAATATCAGCCATTTCCAGCATTAGTAGCGGCTTGAGATAATACAAGAGCTTTATTAAAATACACTTGTTCATTGGTTGAAATCATTTTCACATGAACAAAAAACAAGTGCACTTTAAAAACCTTACTGACAGAAGCGTTGCTAAATTTATGCCAAACAAAACAATCAGCAATATGAGTTCTCGTCCTCCTCTTCAGTGTTTAACCTTTAAAGCTGCATGTGTACCTTTACAGTTCTCAGATCAGGATCCACATCACAACGCTACAAACGGTGACACTGCTTGTGTTTTACAAAATTATTCATTGGTGTCCCACCTGCTCTTGTCCTCGTGTGACGCTGGCTTTAAATAAGCAGCGTGATGAATAAAAACTACACCTGGATGAATAGGAATCCACAGCAAATCAGAGAGCGCTCTCATCTCGTCTCATCCTCAGACTGAATAGCGGCTGCCGCTTCTATTCTTTTGAACTCGTCAAGGTTTCGGTACAAACATGCGTGAGACGGGGAGCGCTGTTGTGCTCCCACCAGAACAACTAAGCTTAATTTTAGTGAGATGAAAGTTTTTTGAGTTTTTTTTTTTTTTTCTGGATGCAGCTTTGAAAGAGTTCTCAACTCTTTGGTTCTTGGGCATATGCTGCCCTATTTTTCAGGGTTTTTTCTTTTTTTTTTTTGTGCTCGCTGTAAGCTGGAACGTTTTAGATAGGATTAAATAGAACTGGATAACTGACCAAAGGCTGTTGAATGAGTTTTACATGCCTTGTAGCCCAAAATGCTGCCTCACATGTGTTTTAAGTCCTGCTAGTTATCTTCCTCCTCAGAGTGTATAATTACAACACCATTAGCCAGAATAGTATTTGCTAACTTTGTGCCAGCCACTGTGGTATATCTCGCTAATGCACCGCTGAATACTGGATTGTTTTGCCCTAAAGATCAACTCAGAGCCTCTCAAATGTGGGGCAGTTAGAAGTGATCAGAAAGTTGGCGTAGTTAAGATGAAACTTTTTTCATGATAAAGGCCCACTTGCTGAATGGCTGGTGTAAATTCTCTATTAGTTGATAACGAAGCAATCAGTTTGATATCGGTTAATATTGAGGAGTTACAAAATTATTAGGCCACTAGATTATGTTGCCAGTCCACTCATCATTACAGCCAAAGTTCAGTTTCCTTTGACAGCTTTCACTTGTTGATAGTACAATACTCTGGATGTTTGTCTCCAGCCTTGACAAGGCTTAAATCTTACACGTCTTTTATTATCATTATGCAGTTTTAATCATGGTTGAACACTTTCTCTGTACTTTAGCTAAATTGTTTGCCAAAAAAGTCTTGACAACTTATTTGATATATGACTTTGATCACTTTTCAGATACAACAAATACAAAGGGAGGATTTCTTTCTTTTATATTGCTACAGATTGAAGTACACATAACAAACAAAGCAAGACAGTTGGACAAATAAGAAAAGTTTT